CCCCAAAACCCCAAAACCCCAAAACCCCAAAACCCCAAAACCCCTTACTAAATGAATTTTATTGAGAAATTCAATTAATTTTATTGAGTACCTTTGATAAACCCTTCTCCATAAGTTGTAGATGCCTTTGGATGATATTTCTCCAGTATATCCCCATGCTCTGCCAACAATCTCTCCATTTCTGCTTTGACAATATCTTTCTTGCGATTTTCTTCCTCTTCCTGGGCACGTTTCTCTTCGATTTCAATTTCTCTCTGCTCTCTGTACATAGCAAGCTTCTCTTGCCACAATCTTTCGACTTCTCTCTTGTGCTCTTGCTCCTTCATTCTTCTTCTTTGAGCATTGAGTTGTTCAACTCTGTCATCTTCAGCGAATTTCTCGAGCATTTTTCTCTTGAAGTCCTCTTCAATTCTTCTCTCTTCAGCTTCTCTTTCTTCTTTGATCATCTTCTGGTACTCTTGAGCTCTGAGGAGCTCATGCATGACATTGACACGCTTCTCAGCTTCTTGTCTTTCCTTCTCTCTTTCACGTTCCTCAAACTCTTCTTGGTAGAGTTGGACTCTGAGGTTTTCAATGTACTCCTCTTCAGCTCTTCTTCTCTCTTCTTCTTCCTTGAGTGTCTTGAATATTTTCTCTCTTTCAGCTTCAACTTTTGCTTTCTCACGTTTGATTCCAGCCTCTCTAACAGCTTGCTCTTCTGCGTATCTACGGACATTGTCTTCTTCAATCTCTTCAATTTCCTTAAGTCTTTGCTCATTCCTCCTCTTCTCAAGGAAGCTTTGCTTCATATCTAACTTTGCTTGCTCTTGCTTTAATTTAGTGAGTTTGGCCATCTCTGTGTCTTCCTCGATTAATCTATTGACAACTTCTTCGACTTGGCCTTTTTCTCTCTCAAACTCCTCTCTCTGGGCTTGAAGAATCAGGGCTTCCTTTTCAGCCATTTGAGCTTGAATCCGTTGCTTATTTTCCAACCTGTCCATAGCTTCTTGACGTTGGGCCGCCCGTTCTTGGGCTTCCTCGATTTCCTTCTTTCTGAGCATGGCCATGTCCATTCTGGCGTCTTCTTCAACTTCCTTGTGTACCTTCATCTGTGTCTCAGCTAATTGAGCAGCTCTTTCTTTATTAAGGTAGGCATTTCTTATCTTCTCTTGTAGCTCTTTGATTTCTTCACTATCAGAGCAGATCCTGTCAATCTCAACCTTCTGTTTGTCGCTGTCAAACTTCATCCTGGACATCTCTCTAGCGAGTCTCTCTTCCATCTCGAGATATTTCGGGTTTGGCTTTGTAGTGGCACCACCTGGGAACATTTTCAAAAATTATAGTAATTTAAATGAAAATTTATTTCATTATGAAGAAATAAATTAGGGGTTTTGGGGTTTTGGGGTTTTGGGGTTTTGGGG